CTTGAGGGTTACATAACTATCACAGTGTTATAGTTCCACGAAGTGACACTAGAGGGCGCAGAGAATTCGCAAGCGAACCAACAGAAGCTGATGTAGATCAACATGTAATCAACTTTATAGCAATAATCAATGTTTTAAAATTGATAATTTAATCTACTTTGCATAACATTGTATTTCTAATTATCAGTACTGAAAAGTTTTTATCACTATTACAGTTTCACTTTACAAATTAAACATTAAATCTGCTATTTTAATCTTATCAGCTTTATAGTTTTTACTTGTATATTTAATTGTGTACATTTTACAAAGCTGGATGGTGTTTTTATAAGCGGATAGTATTATTAGTGGAATAGTTCAATAGGATGATGAGCTCACCATAGGGTGTCTCAACAAGTCATCAGTGTCTACATTTTATAAGTAAAACTGTTATTTTTTAATGATTATATTTCTATATATTAAGTATAACAATAAATGAGATCTTGACAAAATATCTCATAGGAGACTTGTATTAGTTGTTCAAACATACTTGTTAGAAACAGATATTTATGGCGTGTAATTCGTTATAAAATACTAAGCTAGATGGGCAATTATCTGACATTTGATTTTTAGTCTGAACACTGATTTGTAACTGACGATTTTGTATAATTTTTAAGTGAAAAGATAATATATGTTTCTGTAGCACTGTTTCAAAATCTATGTGAGGAATATATGAAGAATTATATTTTATGAGTCTAGAACATCAAAATGTGATCATCAATGAACAATTATTTATCATAAAATGGGATTGGAAGCTTGTTAATATTTAAAAATAACAAAATTAGACTGAAAAAGTCAAGATCTAACGTAAACAAACTAACTTTTATGAATTATGAGAAAAATAATGCATTGAAAGGAATGGTATATATATAAATACATATGTAAGTAAAGAAGGACCCAAAGTTCAGATGATATGTGTCCTGTTATAATTGACTAGTGTATAGAAAATGTTTTTGTGGTAAGGATTGATTTGTATGGTTGGAATATAAGAATTGCACGCTGTCATTTATAAACTAAATTCATTTATGTGTGAAATTGTATATTGGTGAACTAATACAGTTAATTGTTATAGTATACATAAATTGGTTTGAAATTTTGAAAGATATGAAAATAGAATTTCTGATCTTTTAAAAATATTTGAACTAATATATGTTGAAAGTGTCAGCCTTTAATATGATACAGTCTCATACACTTCTGATATCGTTACAAACTGTACATATATATATTCATCCATACCTACATGTGTTACAAAACATTCTAATTCCAGACATTTACTTTCAATATTATTGACTCTATATTGTACCAGTTTTAAGGGGAGACTGGTTGTCTGGCCAGTGACGACCTCTCCTGTACTTTGTGTTTCCTAACAATCAAAGTTTATCAATGGTATTTGAGTTGAACCTCTTAGACTGTATTAGTGTGAGTTAGAATTCTGTGCAAGATAATCATTGCAAATTATTGATTTATGCATAAAAAAGTTCATTCTTAAGTTGTATTCTAAAACTTTAAAGATTTATGCATAAAGTTTCAAACTAGCCCAAAACAAACTCCAGATAAAGATTTGTGAAACTATCTACATAATGGTAAGAATAGTAATAGTTAAACTTAACTGTTTTTACATAAATCCTTTAAACTTTTGCATAAAAATTGACTTTTGAAGCCAAACATGAGATTTAAATAATTGTTCTTTTAAGGATGATAATTTTAAAAAGTATGTTATGCAAATTAAATATAGAAGTGAAAACTATACTACAGTATGTTAAATGTGTACTAGCTCATAAAAAACACAATCAGTTATACTAACTGTCTTAATATTTATAAAAATGGAACATTAGGTGTAGGTAAAACCTTTTCAATAGAACATTAAATGTGTTAGTAACACTATCTGCTTATACAAATACATGTAATACAGTTAAATAAATGAAAACTATAAACATTAGTTAAAATCTATATGCAATCCTACAGAAGTACACTAACACTGTCTATAGAAACACCATCAGCCTTTGTAACACAAGCAAATTTAAAAGTGAAAACTGTAAATTAACTTTCAACATATGCAAACTAAAATATTTTGTCAAGAGCTCATTGGCTATTATACGTGATACACTGAAGAAAAAATAGTTATATTTGTAGAAGAATAACATAAGAATATATCAAATCCATAAGGCCAAACTAGTGAAACAGTAAGATTATATGTTCAATTATTTCCTGATATTTAGAGACGTTATCACGAAAAATCCACCCTTTTCAGGAATGTTATTTCTAAAAAACATGCTGTGAAAATAAGTTAAAATACTATTTGTTAATCAATCATTCTATGAACTATGGTAACATTGTCCTTAATAACATTATCCACCTATCCTATTAAATATTTTGTCAAAATCTCATTTATTGTTATACACAATATATAGAAATATAATTTTGAAAAAAGTATTACGTATGAAATATAGAAGTTGATGACATGTTATGATGAGCTAATAACCCTATTGAATTACTTCCCCAGTAGCACAACCTGTCTATACAAACACTAACCTTGTAACATTATCCTCCTATAAAAACACCATCTGTCTTTGTAATATTTATGCAATTAACCGAATGGCAACAGTGTCCCTAAATGATAAGGACTTAACGTGGCTATCATTATATTTTCTTCCAAAAATAAAACCAGTTGGTGAAATTGTTTGAAAGTTCAGAAGAACTTTCTTAAAAACATGTAGTTTCAGAAAAATAAAATCTATAATTTTAATTTTTTCTACTTTTTTTGATAAAAGTTTCCACACTTTTTACTTTTTAATTACTTTGTATGCTCTCAATAAATTGCTGCAGCTTATTTTTGTTATTCAATTTTATTTTGAAGTTATGTAACAGTTTTGAAACATAATCAAAACACACAATAATACAATTTCATCTTCTTCTATTTCTTTTATTCCTATTATTTTTATAAGTAATTTTGTTAATATTTTAAACATAGACACTAATATATTTCTTAGTTTGAAAGGTCTAAGTTTAAGTCATCCCAATTATGCTATTATTTTCCTAATTCTGCGGTCGAAAACTATTCAGTCACGCCTTTCATATCTATTAGGATAAATACTTATATATATATATATATACGATATCTTAAAGATTTACGTTAAAATGCAGTTTCTTCCTCTACACAAGCCAAGCAATAATAACTACATGACATTTTGGCAGTGATTTAAAGTCTGGAAAATTTTGGTAGTGAAGGGAGGTGAGAGGGGTAGATTGATATTTGATCTGAAGAGAAACATACTAACCTTACAGTTGCATATGCATTAAAAGCAAATGCATTTTTATGTGTCTCCAAAAACTTGCCAGTGGAGTGTTTTGTATCATTATAACTATTTTTACCGCCACTTTTTTCCTTATCGGTAGGCATACCAATGCATACCACCCCACATTAACCACTGATCAGAAATGAGTTTTCTTGAAAGCTCTAAAAGTGTTTCACGATCTACATTCTCATTGTAGCTAAATGATCACAAAATTAAATTACTAGTACCCTGAGTTATCTCTACTCCATGTGACAATCGTAAAGGAATCTTATATATATATATATATTGTTACAACAGCGGAAGTCACGCGACGCTGGGAGCATGCGAGCTGGAGTTTCTCGAAGGATCATGAATTTTACTGACAACTCTAGTTTGTTCGAGACGCCCTCTTTTTTAGTATATAAGCCTGGCGAGAAAAACCAGCGCGATTGAAGAGATATAGATAGATCAAAGAGATAGATTGAAGCGATAGATAATTGAGTCAAGCATGCAGTAGGCACCGTAAGTAAAGTGTGTGAATCACTCTGAGTTATAGCGTGTGTTATGAAGGTTGTTAAGTTTAAAGTGACTGTGGAAATTCTATGTATTACAAAGTTGTATCGAAAAAGAATAAACTAGTTTTAATTAAGAAAGGACTTGTATCACTGAAGTTCCTCAGAAAGAATTTATACCGGAATTTAACAAACAATCAAATACGTAACAATAAATATGAGTTGACGTCTCCTTTCGTTAGTTAATTTTCCGTAAATTCGTTCGGACGAAACTTTAGCGACACAAGTCCTTTCTTAAATAAAACTGGTTTATTCTTTTCGAATACAACTTTACGATACACTTAATTTTAACAGTCGCTCTATAACAAACGCTATAACTCACGTCTCACGTGGCCAACAATATTTTGTCCGCATACATTCAATTACTCATTACCTCACACATTCTCCGACTGCAGTTCAATTACTCCTTGTTCCGTCACGTTTTGACCGTCTAGTAGTCTCCCGACAATTCACGAAGGAACAGGATATTTCTAGAAGGAGGTGGCGTGATACTAGTCACGTGACCTCGCTGACGCAACAGTATAATACAACTACCTAATGAAACGCTAGAGAGCATTGTTGACTGAATTATGTTACAGAAAGCAATACCTTAAATACATATACCATGTTCTAAATTAGGATTTTAGACAAATATTTAAAACATTGGATGATATGAAATATCTATTATAGGAGAATGATATATATATATCAATTGGATATTACAACAGTTCTTTTGTTATTGGATTTCAACTTCTTAACAACACATGCAAAATAACTTTATAAAGCATTATCTGTATTTCTAGTTTCATCAACAAACTACCCAGCCCTTAATAGTTAAATACAATGTATCGCATACAGACAACAAAATTCTCACACAATTTAAAGTTAACTTCTTTCAATAGAACCAAGACTTTCTATTAGCCTTTATAAAATCATGATAAATATAAGTTAAATAAAGAAAATTATGTGGTAGTATTTGCGGTATTTAAGATATTAATTTCCCAGAACATCGTTATCAACAAAAATATTTCGAATATAATCTAAATTGTATTATACTTAAAAATGAAATGAAATTTCTAAATATCTCAATACACTAAATGAGACAAGGAGGACGCTTTAATCGCTTAAATAAGTAAAGATGGCTGTGCAGGATGAGATGGTTTTATTGGAACGCGTGTTTCTTCGAATTGGAGCTGCAGAAACTGACGAACAGTTGCAAAATGCACTCGCTAAGTTTTTACCACCTGTTTTGCTGAAACTTTCGAGCCCTCAAGAAGGCGTTCGTAAGAAGGTTATGGAACTTTTAGTTCATATAAACAAGCGGTTAAAATCTCGACCTCTGGTTCAGCTTCCTGTTGATGGATTATTACTTCAGTACCAAGATCCTGCTGCTACGTCTTTTATTGTTAACTTTACCATAATTTACATCAAAATGGGTTACCCCAGGTTGGAAATCAGTAAGCAAATAGAAATTTTACCAGGCTTACTTAGCAGTTTAGAAAACAAACCAGAAATGCATCAAGACGGTATTTTGTTGATGTTGATGCCTGTATTACCCCATGTAACGATACCAAATGATGCAGAGAAGTGCAAGGTTTTGTTTGGACTGAGAGATAGACCAAAAGTAGCAAAGTTACTACTGGATTATCTGCTTGACTTTCTTTTGATTCCCTATGGATTTGCAAGACCTAGTCCAGCTTCTAACCTTTCAGGTGAAAGTATCCCTCCCCCTGGTTTGAGTGAGCATGCACTGAAACGTACTGTTGGAGATGAAGCAATGCCCCCTGAAAACCTTGAGAAAATTAAATTGGGAGCAGTACGATTTTTAGCTTGTGGTGTGTACCCAGAACAAGATATTGTTGTTCACTTGATTGTGGCTGCCTCAGATACTCGTCATAGTGTAGCTAGCATTGCTGATCAAGAACTCCGGAAGATATCTGGTGTTGTTGATTGGAACAATAGTTCATTAGTGGATAGCTTATTCTCTTTGTTTCTAGGCTCAAATTACATCAAAGACAAAAAATCAACTGTGAAGCCTGAACATAAGCGATCACCTACTAACACTCGAATTCGTCTCAAAATTTTTCCTAACATCTTGAAATCATCTACAGCCTCCACTCAGTTTCCAGCAGCTGTGCAGGTTGTTTTTGATGCATTATTCAGTAGCAACACTAATGTGAAATTGAAGTCTATGGCAGTACAATTTGTTAACTCAATATGTAGCAACTGCAGTGAGAAGCAAATTTTACCAGTTGGAAAAGTACTTATTTCAGGCATGCAGAAGCTGATAGCAGAACCAAATGAAGATTCTAAGGTACGTAATCAAGCGTATGTTGCAGTTGGAATGCTAGGGATGAAACTTCCAAATCTTGTAACTGAAGATTTAAGCATTGTTAATTCCTTTTTTGATGCACTTGTAAATGAAGATCGAGATAGCAAGATTGCTATTCAAGAATCACTTGGACTTCTGTCTAAAGCATTTTGTAATCTAGAACCAAGTCTGCGTGGTATCATGGAAGCCCTTATAATGTCCAAGATAGAAAGTCCTGTGACTCAGGTAAGACAGATAGCTGTGAATTATGCAGCATCAATATTTGAAGATGATCACATTCCTTCACAGTATATTTTAATGTTGGCTGCTGGTGATTCAAAAGATGAGATACGAACTGAAGCAAGGAAGATATTGAGATCATCAAGAAAATCAGAAAAAAAACTTCCCCCGTTTCCAGATGTTGTCCATTACATCACTAAGAAAGCAGATCAAAGAATGAAAACTAAAGACAAATATGTTGTAGGAAAAACTTCTTTGGCCTTTAATCCTGAAACGTACTTAGAAATGCTACTATATTTAAGGAGATGTCTAGTAAACAGTGCTAATGTTCCTAAGGAGCTACAATTTGATAATCTAGATCCAGAGCAATCACCATATATTTCAAAGTATATAAGAAAACTGTTGCTTTCAAATACTGACAAAGAGAGTAATGCTGTGAACAACTACATAGCCTTAAACAAGCAGTACTTGCTAGCTTTTGCTGATGCACATGTTGTTTATATTCTTTTAGAAGTTGTTGCCGGTGTTCCAGATATCTTGCCAAAAGAGTTTGCTGCTCACGTATCTTTGGTTAAAAGTCTAATGATGTCAACTAAAGAAGATGTAAGAGAACATTCAGCCAAACTGTTTGCTATTATTATTGCTCATGACAGTGAAAATATATTTGTGAATTCCATTGAGGAGCTTTTAAAAAATGTGAAGGACAATAATCTGGAATCTCAGCATGGTTCTTTGATAAGTGTGGGGTATGCTATTGGGTTTTGGTTTCGACAGATGAAAACGCAAAGCAATTATGCTGCTAAAATAGAGGAATTTACTAAAATTGTATACAAGACTGTATCAACAATGTTGTCCTACTTGAAAAATAGCAATTCCCTATTGACATCAGCAGTTTGTCTAGGAATTGGTGAAATTGGAAGAAATGGTCCTTTGCATACTTATTTTGAAATGTCAGGTGGGTCACATTGTGATGTACATTCTAAAAATATTGATGCAAAACTAGAAAGCAAGTTATTAGTTAAAGAGCTTGGAGACATTGCATGTTCAGAAAAATATCCTATTAAGTGCAGAGAGCGTGCAATTCAAGCTTTAGGGTACATTTGTGTTGGTGATCCTACATTTCCACATTGCAGGCTAATCATGGAAAAGCTTCTTCAAGTGGCTTTTGAGAAATCAGATGTTGATCTTCATTTTACAGTAGGTGATGCTTTGTGTTGTGCAGCACTTGGACCCTCCTCGTCAGCTGCAAGGAATTTTTGGGTTGAGCTGAAGGATGATTTCAAGTGTAAAGAAACAGGACTGAAAGAAGAAGAAATGAAATGGGTTATTATAGAAATACTAAGTAAGTTTGTTGTTCATACAAAACCTGCTGTTAGACAGGCTTCTGCAGTTTGGTTGATTAGTATTTTGAAAGACTGTGGAAACCACAGCATTGTCAAATCATTTTTTAAAAGTATACAGAATTCTCTATTAAACTTGCTTGCTGACAACAGTGAAATTACTCAAGATATTGCATCTAAAGGTTTAAACCTTATATATGAACTAGGAGAGGAGCAGGATAAGAAAGAACTTGTAAATCTTCTCCTGGAAACTTTGACTTCAGGTAGAAAATCAGGTGTTACTGTATCTGATGACACTAAGTTGTTTGAAGAAGGAATGTTGGGTAAATTACCAACAGGAGGTGGGATCAGTACTTACAAGGAAATTTGTTCTTTGGCATCAGACTTAAACCAACCAGATCTTGTGTACAAATTCATGCACTTAGCTAATCATCATACTCTCTGGAATTCCAGAAAAGGTGCTGCTTTTGGGTTTGGGAAGATTGCTGAAAAAGCTGGAAAACAGTTGTCAGAACACTTGCCTAAAATTGTTCCAAAACTGTACAGATATCAATTTGATCCAAATACAGCTACCAGACAGTCTTTTATAGCCATATGGGATTCGGTTGTTTCTGAGCCACAAAAAACAATAGATCTTTATCTGGCAACAATTCTTGATGATTTGCTGGAGAACTTAACTAATCCTCAGTGGCGTGTGAGGGAATCAAGCTGTTATGCCATTAGTGATTTGATAAGAGGTCGAGATTTAACAGAGGTTATTGGTTATTTACCGTCTTTGTGGGAGACTTTATTTTTGGTAAGAGATGACATTAAAGAATCAGTGCGGAATGCTGCTGAATCTGCTCTTAAGGTTCTTAGCAAAGTTTCGGTGAAACTTTGTGATTCTACTAGTGGAAAAGCAGGAGAACAAGCTTTACAATTAATTATTGTGTGTTTGATCAAGAAAGGATTATGCAGTCGAGTGTCAGAAGTAAGAAGTGTAAGTCTTTTGACAATTGTTCAGGTGAGCAAGAATGCTGGGCCTTTGTTAAAACCACATATACCGTTATTAGTGATATCACTGCTAGAAGCTATCAGTGATCTTGAACCTGAGGCATTAAATTATCTTAGTGTTAAGTTAGGATCAGAACAAGATACTCAAGAGAAGATAGATAATGCACGTATTGCAGCATCACGCTCCTCACCAATGATGGAGACTGTCAATCACTGTGTGCAGTATATGGATAAACAAGTCACGGAAGAGTTGGTTCCAAGGCTAGTTGATTTAATTCGTAGTTCAGTTGGGTTGGGTACTAAAACTGGATGTTCATATTTAATATCAAATCTTACTTTCCAGTGTCCGAGGGAAATAGAGCCATTTGCTGGAAAACTACTGGCAGCATTTATTAATGGACTTGGGGATAGAAATGCTGCTGTTAGAAAAAGTTATGCAACAGCTATTGGTCATCTCGTTAAAGTTGCTAAAGACAGCAGTGTAGAAAAAGTATTGGTGAAAATCCATAATCTGTATCTTGAAAAAGAAGAAGCACCAGCAAGGTCAGCATGTGGGTACACTATTCAAGCAATGGCAAAATATAGTCCCGATGTACTTCGTGCACATAGTGCTCATGTTTTACCATTAGTGTTCCTGGCAATGTTTGAAAAAACATACAAAGGAGAAAAAAAAGAAGCTAATGATTCCAACCCATGGGAAGAAGTTTGGCTGGAATTTACTACTGGTTATGAAACAGCAATTCGTTTATATTTAACTGAAATAGTAAGTCTTATTCAAAAAGGCTTAGAATCTCAGTCATGGCTTATGAAAGAACAAGCAGCCACAGCTGTTGCAACCATGGCAACAAAACTGGGAGGAATGTTAAAACAGCCTTATCTTGGAACTTTGTTGAATACTTTATTATCAGGACTATCAGGAAGAACATGGAAAGGAAAAGAATCAATAATGAATGCATTATCTTTGATTTGTGTCAATTCAATGGATCAAATCACAGAAACTGAAGGTGAAATTTCTGTTCATCAAATTATTCAAGTTTTAGTGAAAGAATGTAAAAAAGAAAATTTAAAATATAAGGAAGCAGCTGTAAAAAGTTTAGCAGCAATCTTGGAAAAACACCAGTTGGACTATTTTGGTGATCTCTACAATATCTTGGTACCTATTCTGGAAAAGAAAAATAGCTGCCCTCACAATAATCAACACAGCAGTAGTGAGGAAGAAGACCCTAGGGAAAACTTTAATTTCCAGATTGTGGCATTTGAAGCATTAGGATGTGCATGGCCTTCTGTTCCTGAAACTCAAAAAAAATATCAGACGTCTTTCTGTAATCTTATGACATCTAAGTTTCCAGTCAGCACATGGAAGGTTCAGCTTTCAATCTTGAAGGCATTAAATTGTTTTATCAAGAATACAGTTTTACCAAATGAAATACAAGAGAATGCTAGAGGAAGTCCATTCTCTCCTTCACTGGTTGAACAAATGTTGAAAATTGTATCATCTGCTTTTAGTGTGGTGAAGTACAGCACTTTGAGAATGGAAGCTCTGGACGTGACAGAGAAGCTATTATTGAAGATAAATAAGGATGATTTAAACCCTGAAAGTGTTAAACAACTCTGTGGATCTTTGACTTCTCTCATGGAAAACTGTAGTCCAGCAATGAAGGAAAAAGCTTCAAAAATTCTTATAATTCTTAAATAAAATACAAAAATTGCACATAAATCTGTGTACTGAGACTATTTCCATATATACTTGTCATCTATGATTACTTCTGTGTCGTAACAAAGCAAATGAACATCTAAAACTAGATATTCCAAAAGTTTATACTAGTGCATTTCATGTAAAGAAGTCTGAAGAATGTATATCATTTACTATTTACTAAAGTGCTGCTGTTATTAAATGTATGAATTGTATAGTGTTCTGTGATATTATGGTACTTTAAAATAATAATTATATTTAGGTAAGATTTGAAGACTTGTGTTTTGGATTATTCAAAATATTAACTGTTCACATTTGTATGAGCTTCAGTAAGTCATGATAATTTTAATTAATTAACATATTTGTTAGTAATTTCAGTTTCTCTGAACCCTTCAAATTATACAGTGTTTTGGTTGTCCACAAAGTGCCATTCTTGCTTTAAATGTGTCTCTTAGTTTACTTCCAGAGGTTAATTGGAGTCCTGTTCATAAATATTTAAGCTTCTCTAAAAATTACTTAGCTTTTAGTTTCTAGGAACTGATTCCATTTAACTTGAAGATTTGAAACACAAATTCAGTTAGAAAACAGGTGTTATACTTTTATTAAACATTTTGTAAGATATATTAATTTGCAAGAAGTGTAATGGGTAGTTTTGGATTGTTTTCCTCTTACTTTTAGTAAAATTGTGTATTAAAAAGGAGAATTCTATTTATAATGAGTTTCACAAAGGTTTATTGAAATATCCTAAGTAATTGTAAACACAGTGCCAGATTAAAGGAAGGACTTCATCTCTGGGCCATAAGTAGGCTTAATCCTGCCCTAAGTAATCAGGTTGGTTAATTTAATGAAGTAGTGATAAACATGGTGTATACAAAGTAATAGTAAGCAAGTTAGTTAATTTAAAGGAAAGTCAAGTGAACATGTTCAATTTAATGGATAGTGATAAACAGTTTGCTTAATATAATTAAAAATTGATGGGAAACATGTTGGTTACAGTAATGGAAATTGTAATATACATGTTTAAGGTTAATTGATATAAAAGAAAATTTATTTACTAAAAAGTAGGGGTAAAAAAGTTGGTTATTATAATAGGGAATAGTGACAAACATTTTGGTTAATATAATGAAAACAGGTTAGTTAATAGAAAGTAGTGGAAAATGGGTTGTTAGATATAAAGGGAAGTAATCATAAACATTTAGTTACTTTAATGTAATAGGACATTGTGGTAAACAAGTTGATTATTGTAATGGAAAGTGGGACATAGTGATAAAAAAAAGTTGCCTAATGTAAGTATGAGTAGTAGTAAACAAGTTTGCTAATATAAATGGGACATGGTGATGAAAACATTGGCTAATATAATTATAAATTGATTAGGATGTTGTAAAGTGGCAGTAACATCAGCCCATTTTAGTGACATAGTTTTAGCCGAATTAGAACCAGTTTTCTGAGCTACAACTGCAAATAAACATATTCTGAATGAACATAGATTCAACATACCTTGTATGGATGGTTAGTATGGAACAATATTAAAATTATAAATAAAAATTATAATTTCAAGGTGATTATATTCCTTTCATTCAAACAATTCATTGGTAATTGAAAAATGTAAGAATTACAAAGAAAATTAATGTGATTATATTTTTGCTCTTGAAACAATAAATTCATTGGTAATTGAAACAGTATTACTATTGATGTACTTGAACCAGAAGTAAAATCTTATCACTCAGAATACCAGTAGTTTCCATATGTTGTGTGTAGGTACCTTGATAGAAAACTATAGCTTTCTACAGAAATAATGTTATTTAGTTGTCTTTAACAGGAGTAATGGTTTACATCTACTCTCATGTTACTGCTTTAAGATTTTACAGCATATCATATGGTTGTAGTATGTGATAATGTAAAACCTACAGGATATTTTGTGTATATTAACAAATTGTTCTCTTCAGTATACTTTCCAATATCAGTTTTTTTTTCACTAGATTACATACTGTACTAGGAAACTTTCCAGCTTTCAAAAACAATATTTGTATTTCAAATATTCAACAAGATACCATTGTTGCTAATTTAATTATATGCACGCTGTTAAACCTTAATCTATTACTACTAGAAAAAAACAGAAGTTCATGGGTGATGTTAAAATTAAAGTGAATCATACAGTTTATTTTTGTAACATTATAGCAGTGTTACTCTGCTCAAGAACTCTGGTGTACACCATCGTAAAATATGATCTTACACCGACGACGCACGAAGAGTTGGCGATAATTTTACGGACTTATAATGCTAAAATCCAGGGTCGGATTTTTTGTTGTAGACAGAATTCAGAGTTCATTGGGTAACCTTGTGCTAAAACAAACAGACTGAACACTAAATATCTTGCAGTATTTATATTTATTCTATTAAATGACATGTTTTCCAATGGTTTCACCAATAAATGTAACTTTATAATAGAAGCACTTGAGGTATTAGATTGTTCAGAAGTTTATATGGTTAGTACGAAGTTAGGTGTTATTGTCTACTGTTAAAAACTAGAAAATAGTATACATAAAAGTATATTATTTAACCATGTATTAAAAAACTGTTATATATCCTAAGTAGGTTTGAGTGAAAATGTAAACAACAACAAGTGTGTATATATATATTTTTTTCTTTGAAATAAATTATAGACACAATACAATACAAATGGTTAGTAAGAGTACAGACAGGCCTACGTTTTTCAACTGTGTTTGCGTTTTAAAGGCTAGTTCAAGTTTACCCTAAAGCTGAAAGCATTTTGAGGCCATTTCATACCTGTTTTTTGTGATGAGTTTTGGATTTTCTCTTTGAGAGATTTCCAAGTAAACTGAATACATATGCAGTTGTTATAATTAATAAAATCATGTTTGCTTTGTTGAACCGTGATGGTGTATTTTGAAACGCGAATTTTTCTTCTTGACTAGTAATATCACAGTTGCGATACATCTTTTAAATACAAAACTATTTAGCTGGTTGGAATTGAATTAACAAAATTAGTTTCACTAAATGCAGAATTAATGTAAATCACATTAACATATATTGCCTAAAGACATTGTTTTCTTTCTTTTCTATTGATATGAAAGGTGGTAGGAACATGTATGTATGATACTTTATGAAATAAAAACAAACGTGGATCCGTCACTCAAATTTTTTGAAGGTGTTGCCTATCTGCTTGTTTGTTAATTTCCGGTAGAAATTATTTCCGAAACTTCAGCGATACAAGTACTTTCTTGGTTAAACCAGTTTATTCTTCCTTGATACTAACTTTTAGCACACAGTAATTTCACAATCAATATGTTTTTGAACTTAACTACTTTTATAACACACGCTAAAAATCACGCACTTTACTTACGGTGCCTACTATTCTCTTGACTCGATTATCTATCTCCCGCTGGCTTTCTTTGCCAGGCTTATATATACTAAAAAAAAAAAGGGGGCATTAGATCACACTCGAGCTGGCGGGGAAATTCATGATCCTTCGAGAAACTCCAGAGGGCATGCTCCAAGCGTCACGTGTCTTCCGCTGTCGTAACAAAGGTTTCCGCATTTCTTACCTGACTGGTGTTGGTTGATATAGTTATGTTGAACTTTACGAATATATTACATGCGAAGTATATTTTTAAGTGTTTTTTTTAAAGGCATTCCGATTTGCTTCATAAGAAATATCAGCATTAATTAACTTATAACTATTAGGTGATTTTGGGTGGAATCGCAAAGATCCAAAATTGTTTTTGTTTTTACTATAAAACAAAAAAAAAAACATTATCAATTCTTTGTTCAAAAGCTGCAGGTAACATTTCAAAAAACTGGTAATGAACACGATAAAATCATTAGGGGTCAAATTAATTTTACTTAAATAGTGAAACATTAAAATACTGTGTAAGAAAAACAATTTTAACATTACATATCATAACATCCTTTCGAATTTCGTATTTTTTTTTTCACATGGCTAATTTTAAATCGCTTGTCAAACAAAATACAATGTGTACTTAGTAATTTGAATAAGCATGCACATGTATTTTACTACATTTTTGAAATGCCCTTAATTTCTTATTCCAATTTATGTAATATCTTCTAAAACATGTTAAGTCCTGGTTTTTAATGCAAGTTTTAAACATTTCTAGGACACACATCCTCACCAGTTCTTTTGGTTAATTCATGAAAGATACGAATGCTTTTTTTTCTGCTTTCTCTTATATATATATATTGTAAAATTAGGTTTGTAAGTTCGGTTTTTCAGAACTTTTTTTTTTTTTGGCATTGATACTTATTCCTTATGATAAAATCTAATTTATTTCATTTACCTTAAACCTTAAAAAGATTTTGGTTTAATAACGTGTGTTTGTATATATATATATATAAGTGAGAGCAAAGAAAAATCTGTCAACCACATTACATCTGCCGCATACGGTGCCGACGACGGCCGTGCATAACGTGGTGGTTAGGGCATTCGACTCGCAATCTGCGGGTTGCAGGTTCAGATCCTGTTACCGAACTTGCTCGCCCCTTTTAGCCATGAAAGCGTTATAAAGAGACAACCAATCACAGTTTTCGTTGGTAAATAGTAGCCCAAGAGCTGATGGTGAGTTGTGTTGATTAGCTGAACTTCCTCTGATCTATCACTTCTAAATTATGGACAGCTAGTCCAAATAATCTTCCATTAGCTTTGCGCGAAATTCAACAAAACAAAAGAACCGATGATGCCTTTTACTCAATACTGAAGTAAGTAGGCTTGCTGGGATATGACAGACATAGTGACAGTCTAAGTGCTATTCATATATTCAACTTTTACGAGTAACATCTGTAACGATTTGAACTAGACTAAGTAAATAAAATTGTAATAATAATCAGCTTTATTTAAGTCATTTGCTAGTCAGAATTACAACTTGCAACAGTGTGAAATGCAACCTATTTACAACCATGAAACAAGTAACAAAACTCTGGACTTTCATTTAAAAGTAACAAACAACAATGAAAGTTTCTTACAGTGTTGATCAACTATTTTTGTGGCGTGAATGCCTTTTACAATTTGGCAAAACATGATTATAATTAATAATTCATGTCATAAAACATTATGTTAGGCCTTATTCTAAAAAGCACTAAGTTACTAATCTAGTCGCTAAGCGATTTTAAAGAATTAGAAAGGTATATAATAATTATATTTAAACCACACTATGATAATCATATCTATTGCTAATCATGCGATCGCTCAATCTAATGCACCTCAGGCCGGTTGACCAGTTAAATTCTAGCACTGGATTTGGTATTGTCATGGCTGGAATAGTCCAGGAAGTACTTTCTGTAGCGAATGGTATAGTATTAGTGGTAATAGGTGTATACCAAATCAATCCTATTCCATATTTCATAGCAAATGGCATTCCAATCTAGAACTTTTGAAATAAAACAGAAACGTGTGGCTAGCTTAATCTTTGTATTTAATAATTCACTTTCCAAATATTATAGTAAGTCATTGATGTTCTTTCCTTTTTTTTCTACCTTGTTGATGTCTTTTTTTTATTTTACTTTTGTCTTTACTGTAATTCCTGCTGTACTTCTCCAATTTTGTAATGACAACCTCTCCATATTTCTTCAATTTTATTGTTGTAATCTCTCTATATATTTCCAACATTTTCATCGATTTTGTCTTTAATCAATTTATTTTTTAATTTAGTCTCTTTTCAATACCTGTCTTTTTCGCGTGTCTCTTTTCTTACATTCCTGTCTCTTATTTCTTAATATTCTTCTATTTTTCCAATACTTTCCTTTTAGTCCGCTTTAAGTTTCCTGAAAACGTTTTCTTTGTTTTCTTTAATTTCCTATCTCATTCTTCTAATTTTCTGTCTTTTCTTTCTGGTCTTCTTTTACTTTTTTATCTCATTCCTCTAAATATTTTCTTAATAATTTCATCATCTCTACTAATGCTTCCCTTTACATCTTTGAAGGTCAATAAATTACTTAAATTTGCTAATGGTACTAAGGTCTTTGGGTGTTGATAGCTGTGAAAAGAATGCTGCTGCTTTACATAACTGTTCCTCGGTTGGGCAGTGGTAAGTCTACGGACTTACAATGTTAAAATCAGAGGTTCGATTAAAGCACCAAACTCCAAATTCGGAACACAGATACAATTTTCTGCGGGAATTAACATGGACTATGTGGTCGCGGCCTCAGAGACCGCAAGTTGAGACCAAAGTGACCAATATAGCAATTTTTGGCAAGCAGGACGACCAATTGGTCTCAAATTGAAAGGCCGGATTTTTTGGTAATCTGTGATTAAGAGAACTGTTATTTACCTTTCTTCTCTGTGTGAGGACTTCTCCTAATCATTTTACTCAGGTTCAATTATGTGTTAAACGACTTAAAACTTCGTGGAGCCTTCACTTGCTTCTCTCCCTTTCTGCTCTTTCCCTCCCCCTCTTCCTTTTACGCATACATGCCTACTCTCTAACTTCCCCTGAAAGAGGTTAGTGCTTTCTCCTGAACATGCGCGCACACTCCCTCAACTACATAGGCTTGCTTCAGCCAAATATTTTGCTTTGCTTGCGTGTACTGTGTACTCGTGTATCGCAAGAATCAGTTATACGATTACTTTAAAAAACTTTTGGTATCAGCAAATTTTCATTTATGATGTGTTGCAACGAGAAGAGAATAAATCAGTTCTTCATGAAATAGAACGATAATAAAGTCAGAATCCGCTGCAAACTACACTTCACCACACAACAGAAATCAGGACACCAAAATGTAAGGAATTTTGTTTTGGAAACTTGAAATGTCATGCAAAGCACATGAAAGAGGCAGGAGTAATATACCCTGTTTTGTTTTGATAAAATAGCTTTAGCAAAATTTTATTTTTTTCGGACATTGCTATTCTTATTGATTTTAGTCAAAATACTTGGTTATGTAAAGAAATAAATAAGCAACTGTAGTACTTTTCTAAGCTCTTTAGTACTTTCCATGAGAGTTTTTCACATCTATTTCTTACTTTTATTTTACTGTTAGCAGCTGAAGTAGAAAACTGCCGATCATCAAGAAATCAGTCACCACTTCTGCCATTAGACTGTTTACATGACATCATAGTACCACACTGTCAGTAGCAAATAAGCTCGTGTGGTGCAATTATATTTATGATATGGCGCTGTACACATTCCCAGCTGACCCAATAAACTTGGTAGGTATTTGGATGTTGATTATCCTCTGAGGGCGTTCGGAATTTAGTGTTGTAGGTGTACAAGTGCTTATGAACATGTATATATATATATATATATATTATTATTACTATTTACCACTAATACCACTAAACAGCCTATAGACATCTGTTCAGTTGCCCGGTATGGCATCATAATGTACAGTAAGCATTCCTTTAAATTGGTTAGCTGGGAATAACGATCTTGGCAAGCACATATTTGGTTTGTATTATTTTTTGTGCTATGCTACTTGACTGGGGGAGATAAGGCAAAGTGCTAATCTCTGCCACACCTAACACTTTACACAACTCAGTGAAAAGTAGGCTTTTGAAATTAGCTCACTTATCCATGTGGATCTCTTTTGGTGCTCCAAAGCATGTTATCCATGCTAACACATCAGCTA